ATAGATTTGAAAACTTCATAATCTCTTGAAAAACGCTTTTTCAGAGCCACTGATTTATATTCAACAATCCGTTAGCCCTAGTGATATTGAAATTAGAGATTTGGAATTCATAATCTCTTAAAAAACGGTTACAACTATATTGTTTTCAGTTGTGATTGACTGCGAAGCTAAAAATATGAACTAGCCGACCAATCAGCGCGCGTTGACGGCAGGGGGCAGAGTCTACGCCTGTCGTAAGGACTTATCCCTCTCCAGGTAAGAACCGGTCAATATAAATAGAGGCCGCCGTCATTTCATGAGCAGTCAGACTTTAGTTCGAAGATGGATCTGATGGAATGAAGCGATGCTTGAAGACGGTCTGCCTAGGTGCTCGACGCCTATTCGGAGGTCGATGTACCAACCAAGACCTAACTGTAGCAGCGCTAGTGATAACGAGGGTTATTCTAGGTTCCGCTGCAGGTTGGACTTGGGAGGCGTGGCTCCAAGGCTTCGGGGGTCACCATGCGCAATTCCAGGGGTGCTCTCTGGACTCATCAGGAGTAAGTAATGTCCTGAAAAAAAAACGGTTCTTTTCAGAGCCACTAATTTATCTGCAATGAAAAAGATTATCTGTTAGCCCTAATTATATTGTCATTATAGATTGAAAATTCATAATCTCTTGAAAATCGCTTTTTTTCAGAGCCACTGATTTATATTCAACCGAAGAATATCCGTTAGCCCTAGTGATATTGAAATTAGAGATTTGGAAATTCATAATATCTTATAAAACGGTTACAACTATATTTGTTTTCAGTTGTGATTGAATGCGAAGCTAAAAATATGAACTAGCGACCAATCAGCGCGCGCTTGACGGCAGGGGGCAGAGTCTACGCCTGTCGTAAGGACTTATCCCCTCTCCAGGTAAGAACCGGTCAATATAAATAGGGCCGCCGTCATTTCATGAGCAGTCAGACTTTAGTTCGAAGATGGATCTGATGGTGAATGAAGCGATGCTTGAAGACGGTCTGCCTAGGTGCTCGACGCCTATTCGGAGGTCGATGTACCAACCAAGACCTAACTGTAGCAGCGCTAGTGATAACGAGGGTTATTCTAGGTTCCGCTGCAGGTTGGACTTGGGAGGCGTGGCTCCAAGGCTTCGGGGGTCACCATGCGCAATTCCAGGGGTGCTCTCTGGACTCATCAGGAAGTAAATGTCCTGAAAAAAAAACGGTTCTTTTCAGAGCCACTAATTTATCTGCAATGAAAAAAGATTATCTGTTAGCCCTAATATATTGTCATTATAGATTTGAAATTCATAATCTCTTGAAAACGCTTTTTTTCAGAGCCACTGATTTATATTCGAAGAATATCCGTTAGCCCTAGTGATATTGAAATTAGAGATTTGGAAATTCATAATCTTATAAAAACGGTTACAACTATATTGTTTTCAGTTGTGATTGATGCGAAGCTAAAAATATGAACTAGCCGACCAATCAGCGCGCGCTTGACGGCAGGGGGCAGAGTCTACGCCTGTCGTAAGGACTTATCCCCTCTCCAGGTAAGAACCGGTCAATTAAATAGAGGCCGCCGTCGATGTACAACCAAGACCTAACTGTAGCAGCGCTAGTGATAACGAGGGTTATTCTAGGTTCCGCTGCAGGTTGGACTTGGGAGGCGTGGCTCCAAGGCTTCGGGGGTCACCATGCGCAATTCCAGGGGTGCTCTCTGGACTCATCAGGAAGTAAATGTCCTGAAAAAAAAACGGTTCTTTTCAGAGCCACTAATTTATCTGCAATGAAAAAAGATTATCTGTTAGCCCTAATTATATTGTCATTATAGATTTGAAAATTCATAATCTCTTGAAAAACGCTTTTTTTCAGAGCCACTGATTTATATTCAACGGAAGAATATCCGTTAGCCCTAGTGATATTGAAATTAGAGATTTGGAAATTCATAATATCTTATAAAAACGGTTACAACTATATTGTTTTCAGTTGTGATTGAATGCGAAGCTAAAAATATGAACTAGCCGACCAATCAGCGCGCGCTTGACGGCAGGGGGCAGAGTCTACGCCTGTCGTAAGGACTTATCCCCTCTCCAGTAAGAACCGGTCAATATAAATAGAGGCCGCCGTCATTTCATGAGCAGTCAGAGTCTTAGTTCGAAGATGGATCTGATGGTGAATGAAGCGATGCTTGAAGACGGTCTGCCTAGGTGCTCGACGCCTATTCGGAGGTCGATGTACCAACCAAGACCTAACTGTAGCAGCGCTAGTGATAACGAGGGTGTATTCTAGGTTCCGCTGCAGGTTGGATCTTGGGAGCGTGGCTCCAACGCTTCGGGGGTCACCATGCGCAATTCCAGGGGTGCTCTCTGGACTCATCAGGAAGTAAATGTCCTGAAAAAAAAAACGGTTCTTTTCAGAGCCACTAATTTATCTGCAATGAAAAAAGATTATCTGTTAGCCCTAATTATATTGTCATTATAGATTTTGAAAATTCATAATCTCTTGAAAATCGCTTTTTTCAGAGCCACTGATTTATATTCACCGAAGAATATCCGTTAGCCTAGTGATATTGAATTAGAGATTTGGAAATTCATAATAGCTTATAAAAACGGTTACAACTATATTGTTTTCAGTTGTGATTGAATGCGAAGCTAAAAATATTAACTAGCCGACCAATCAGCGCGCGCTTGACGGCAGGGGGCAGAGTCTACGCCTGTCGTAAGGACTTATCCCCTCTCCAGGTAAGAACCGGTCAATAATAAATAGAGGCCGCCGTCATTTCATGAGCAGTCATCTTTAGTTCGAAGATGGATCTGATGGTGAATGAAGCGATGCTTGAAGACGGTCTGCCTAGGTGCTCGACGCCTATTCGGAGTCGATGTACCAACCAAGACCTAACTGTAGCAGCGCTAGTGATAACGAGGGTTATTCTAGGTTCCGCGGCAGGTTGGACTTGGGAGGCGTGGCTCAAGGCTTCGGGGGTCACCATGCGCAATTCCAGGGGTGCTCTCTGGACTCATCAGGAAGTAAATGTCCTGAAAAAAAAACGGTTCTTTTCAGAGCCACTAATTTATCTGCAATGAAAAAAGATTATCTGTTAGCCCTAATTATATTGTCATTATAGACTTGAAAATTCATAATCTCTTGAAAAACGCTTTTTTTCAGAGCCACTGATTTATATTCACCGAAGAATATCCGTTAGCCCTAGTGATATTGAAATTAGAGAAATTCATAATATCTTATAAAACGGTTACAACTATATTGTTTTCAGTTGTGATTGAATGCGAAGCTAAAAATATGAACTAGCCGACCAATCAGCGCGCGCTTGACGGCAGGGGGCAGAGTCTACGCCTGTCGTAACGACTTATCCCCTCTCCAGGTAAGAACCGGTCAATATAAATAGAGGCCGCCGTCATTTCATGAGCAGTCAGACTTTAGTTCGAAGATGGATCTGATGGTGAATGAAGCGATGCTTGAAGACGGTCTGCCTAGGTGCTCGACGCCTATTCGGAGGTCGATGTACCAACCAAGACCTAACTGTAGCAGCGCTAGTGATAACGAGGGTTATTCTAGGTTCCGCTGCAGGTTGGACTTGGGAGGCGTGGCTCCAAGGCTTTCGGGGGTCACCATGCGCAATTCCAGGGGTGCTCTCTGGACTCATCAGGAAGTAAATGTCCTGAAAAAAAAAACGGTTCTTTTCAGAGCCACTAATTTATCTGCAATGAAAAAAGATTATCTGTTAGCCCTAATTATATTGTCATTATAGACTTGAAAATTCATAATCTCTTGAAAAACGCTTTTTTTCAGAGCCACTGATTTATATTCAACGGAAGAATATCCGTTAGCCCTAGTGATATTGAAATTAGAGAAATTCATAATATCTTATAAAAACGGTTACAACTATATTGTTTTCAGTTGTGATTGAATGCGAAGCTAAAAATATGAACTAGCCGACCAATCAGCGCGCGCTTGACGGCAGGGGGCAGAGTCTACGCCTGTCGTAAGGACTTATCCCCTCTCCAGGTAAGAACCGGTCAATATAAATAGAGGCCGCCGTCATTTCATGAGCAGTCAGTACTTTAGTTCGAAGATGGATCTGATGGTGAATGAAGCGATGCTTGAAGACGGTCTGCCTAGGTGCTCGACGCCTATTCGGAGGTCGATGTACCAACCAAGACCTAACTGTAGCAGCGCTAGTGATAACGAGGGTTATTCTAGGTTCCGCTGCAGGTTGGACTTGGGAGGCGTGGCTCCAAGGCTTCGGGGGTCACCATGCGCAATTCCAGGGGTGCTCTCTGGACTCATCAGGAAGTAAATGTCCTGAAAAAAAAAACGGTTCTTTTCAGAGCCACTAATTTATCTGCAATGAAAAAAGATTATCTGTTAGCCCTAATTATATTGTCATTATAGACTTGAAAATTCATAATCTCTTGAAAAACGCTTTTTTTCAGAGCCACTGATTTATATTCAACGGAAGAATATCCGTTAGCCCTAGTGA